TGTTGCTTTTGTTCAAGTGATGCAAACATTGAATGCATCATTACGTGTTATTGTTACCAAACATCTTTAAACCAATTAACAGAAGCAATTGTTTAACTGTTAATCAATCTTGTTTTTTGGTTTCAAAAAAAAAGAAGAAAATAAAATAAAAGATCACGTTTGTTTTCTCTGAAAATGAATTGATTTTATGTTCGAACATTGATCGATATGCTTCATTTGATGAATATAATTATTAAGCACAGCTAGCCATCAACAATAATTGCCTTCAATTTGTCGTTTTTTCCATTCAAATATGTATCAAGATAAGATCCAGATGTAACAATAATTTTGTTAAGCACAGTTGTGAAACTTTACTTTCATTCTCTTTTCTATTAGAATCGTACATATCTTAAAGATTGCATCTGATTGTATGAATCTCGGAAAATATAATTATTTTTACTTTAGGTATTAATACTTATTATTACTCTACATTTATTTTACAGATTTATTAAATGAAAATGTTTCTATATGTGAGGTTAAAACCTCTAGTCTATTTATTTCAAAATAATTTCAAATTACATATAACAATAAGACACGTCCTAAACAACTAAACTTTTACCACCATATATATAAATCATCTTTAACATAGTCAATAAAATAATGATCAAGCAAATTTTCACATTTAATTAAAATATATATGTCTTGTATGCATGCTATTTGCATATGTGAAATATGTAGAAAGAATAAATCTTGTAATTGTCCATGACATTTTGTTAGTAAAAAGTGAATCATCTGTTTAAGTTCTGTTGTTTCAATACCAGTTTTAAGATATTCTAATCTTGGAAGTAAACCAGCAACTAGTTCAAGTTGTTTAAATGAATATTCATTAAGAATATTGAGAATTTTTATTTTATTGGTCTTTGATACATATTGAAAAGTTTCACTTTCTTGAATTGACTTGATATCAGTTTCATCTCGAAGGGAAAATTCCAATTGTAGCACATTTAAATTACGTGTAAAACATAGTAATTTCACTATTTCTTCAAAAGGAAAAATATGACGACCAAAATTTAATCGAGTAAGTTGTTTCAAAGGAAGCAAACGATTAAGAGTTGTTGAAATTGAATAATTGGATGTTTTAAAAGGATAGTCAATACTTAATTGAGTAACATTTGGAAAATAATTTATAGAATTGTATATTGCTTCTCCATTACGAATAGAAAGATGTGTAACTGAATTCAAATTGATTTCTTCAATATTTTGGAAATTTCGATTATCACATTCAACACAAAGTAAATGATCTTGTCTTCTGAAAGAATAAAACAAAAGACAAAATAACAATAATAATCAGTGTCTTTTTACCGATATGGATTTGTTGAACAAAAGATTCTGTCCTTTCCACTTGGTTCCCAAACATGTTGATGAGTAAAAAACCATTTCCTTTCAATCCAAAACGAAGAATTAAATTGATGCATCACATCATGACATGATAAATCAATTTGTACAGAGCTCCGGTGGGTAATATCAAAAATATGTAAATTAGGCATATATGATAATATTAATGATTCCCATCGTTGAGCATTTAAGTAAGCTTTTTCAAAATATGTAGTGAGACGTAAACTTTTAACATTGCGGAAAAATCTTTTTGCTAGATTTTCAAATTGATTGAAAGGTACCCTACCATCAAGTTTAAGAGAAATGTATTTTAAATATTTTAACTCAATCAAAGGTAATTGGATCTCCATGTCTCTATTGTCATCGATGTGAAGACAATTAATTGATAAATGACAAAGTCGAGGAAGACAATATAGTAAATAATTCAATAATTCGAATGGAAAATAACCATTGATGATTAAATGTTCAATAGGACTACGATCGAATTCAGTCAAATTAATATATAATGGTGCTTTACGAATTGTTACATCATAATATGTAATCTTGCAATATTTTAATTTTGGTAATGGAAGTATATTGGAAAAAATATCAGTTAAATAATCAATAGGATAGGCGAGCTGAAAAATTAATGAATGAAAATTAGGTAAAGACTTTAAACAATAGAAAATATCATCAAGATAGTTTGATTGAACATTTTCAAGAATCAATGTTTCAAGACGAATAAATTCTGAAATAATATTTGGTGGTGAAAAAATTGCATCAACAATAAATGGGTTTGTTAAACGAAGTAATCGAATTCGTTGTCTGTTTGATAGAAGAATATTAATACTATAATCTTCAAATTTCGATCTCGACATTATTGAAATGTTGATTTTCATTGAAACGTTTGAACTTAAAAGTAAATTTTTAAATCGTTGATTAAGATGACAAAATGCTTTATAAACATCATATGTATCAAGATAATCGAATATTTCATAAAGAATTTCATTCGCTAAATCTTCGAGATTGCTATTATTGATTTTTATTACTAAAAAAAGCGAAAAGAAAATGAGATTTATTAAATTCAAACATAAGATATATTACTCTGATTTTCTAATTTTGGTTTTTCATTAGAATTAATATTTTGAGTTGTACCGTTTTGTGCTGATTTCATGTTTAAACTATCGAATATCGTTGTCTTTAGATTGAAGAATGGTCTCCTGAACGAATGACTGTGTTGTATGGACGAGAAAGTTCATTAAATAGAGACAGCTAGAGAAATGAACCGTCCGAGTTAGTCGTCACCGGCAGCGACTTGTGAATAATAGGAAAAATCGGAATGACTTGTTGCAATTCGTCAAAATATTAACCCAATGTTGCTCCAAAAAATTCCTTTAAACATAAATTACTTTTGTTGCTTCTGAAATACATAAAAAGAATAAATTTGGAATTTTATCATTAGGTGTTGTTCATCAAAATTGAATAATGTTTCCATGCAATTTCTTTTCTCTTCCTTAATAGCTTTAAAATATTTCAATGTTGGAAATAAATGAGTAATAGTTTGAATGTTTTTCAAATGAACAATTAAGATAAAAATCAAGATTCATTCAATAATAAGCAATCGAATTTTAATGCATTTAACTTAGGTGTGCAACATAATAAATTCATGATTTCTGTAAAAGAGAAATTAATAATTAGTTTTAACGGAACTAGATAATTAAGAGTTTAATGGAATTATATCCCCAGATGTATACAATATGTTAATTGAGTAATATTTGGAAAATAGTTTACACTATTATTTGTTGCAGTTCCATCGCAAATACGAAGATGTTTAATTGAATTTAAATTTATTTCTGCAACATGTGGACAAATTGAATTCTCGATTTCCCAGCGAAATTAAATCAATTAATTAATTCATGATACGCTAGATCATTATCTTCTATACACCCGTAATGATGAATACAAAAAAAATACGTAAATATGATATAGACGATAATATTAATCTTTTCGCGTTTATAAAGAATTTCATTTTCTAAATCTTCAAGACAAGATCTAAATGTAATGATAGATGAATATTGAATAACTCACAAGTTACTATTAACTATTATTGTTAGTAAAAAAAGAGAAAATGAACTTCATAATATAACTAGAAAATCTGACTTTTTTAAATACAATTCGAATTTTGAATTTTGATCTCATTTCATGTTTGTTTGATGTTTCATACCTGAATTACTAGGGTGTCGATTAGTGCCGTAATCAAAATTTCAAGGGTGGTATGACTCAGTCATAGGTCCACAATGGCGAGAAGAAGGATAATATTACTTTCTGGCTTTGAAGACTAAGCTATACATTCGAAAAATACTTTTCTAAAAGAAATCATTAACTTGCAACACATATGTCTTTGAGATTGTATGAATTACTTCAATTCTTGAAATAAGAAAAATGAATATAAAAATTTAATCAGATCTTCTTAATACTGACAGAATTCTAGCGTTTTTCGTCGAAATACCGACCTTTGAATCTTTTGACTTCAATGAAAAATGAATTCTTTTCAGAAGAATTATGAAAATTCTGAGTCAAAATCAATCTG